AAGAGCGGATACAGTCATCCTGACTCTTGGAATTTCAGCCTCCTTTGGCCCAACTACATGAAAGTTGCTCAGGGCACTGCCATGAGTTGGAAATGCAGAAAGGCAGTATGTCCTGTATGTGGAGACACAATGGTACGCACTGTATGCTGCTGTTCAAAAGTCACGCTTCTGCTCTGTAACAGGAAAGGACACAGGCATCCTGTGTTTGAAAAGCTCGGTGGACAGTAGAGCTTTCCCTGGGCTCACAGGGAGCTAGTTGCCAGCCCCTTGACAAAGGCATGTAGCACCTATACTGTGTTCCTATGTTTTTGTTGGGTTGGGTTTGGGTTTTCGGCTTGTTTCATTACTGACCACCGTCCTCCTGGATACAGTGCCATGCTTACCTTTGTAAGGCAGGGCCATTGTAAGCCAGGGTCCACCCAGCCAGAAGCCAGCCTGCCTAGAGCAGAGGCTCCAGTGAGGCCCCTGCAGGCCCCCCACAGCTAGGAAACTTAAAGCCTCTTCCTTTTCTTCCCATTGTGTCGACTGGGCTTTTCTAGGGGAGGAGTGGGGCCAGTTAAAAGCTCCCCATGCCAACCGATTCATCTTCTCCCACGACCTCTCCAACGGGGCCATGAATATGCTGGAGGTGTTTGTGTCTAGCCTGGAGAAGTTTCAGCCAGACCTGGTGGTTCTCTCTGGATTGCACATGATGGAGGGACAAAGCAAGGAGCTCCAGAGGAAGAGACTCTTGGAGGTAATAGCACTGTTAAAGAATTTCACAGATCTCAGCTAGTGTGTTTCTTCAGATTTCTGCCTCTCTTGGCCTCTGCAGTTTGTGCTGCCTTGGCCTCCCCGGGACATATCATGGCAGCCGGCTCTGAAGCCTGCCTCCGGCTCCAGTGAGGTACCTCAGAGTGTTCTTTCAGGCACAGGCAGCAGCTTGAGTAGGACAGGTCAGAACATCTTCCTGCCTGAGCCTCTGTATCCTGTGCTAAACTGAACGTGGCTGCAAGCTGCAGTGTTTGTAGTTTGTGTCCTTCATGTTATCTATATCATCTCACTTCCCATCAGCTGTCCTGTGGTTCCTGCAGATCCAAACAACAGTTGAAGCCAACTGCTCAGTTTAGGTCCCCAGGAATAGGGTGGCTACATGAACACACAGGAGTGGTTCTTTGTGCTCTCTGATTCTATAACCCAGCACCTCTCTGCAGAGCCTAGGTTTCCCCGCTGGGAAAAGCATCCCTCATCCACGGAGGCCATGGCAACCTACATGGCTTGGAGTTTTCATGAGGATGCAGAGAAGACAGTGACAGGACACACTGCCTCTCAGGACCTGCTCTTTTCTTCCTCTTGTCTGACTTCTATATCTAATGGCAATGCTGTCCTCTTTTTGCAGGTTGTGACCTCCATTTCTGACATCCCTGTTGGCATTCCAGTTCACCTAGAGCTGGCCAGTATGACCAATAGGGAGCTGATGAGCAGCATTGTGCATCAGGTAACCACATGGGAGGCACACGGAGCCCTCTTTGGCTCTGACCCTCATGGGGCCTGGCAGAAATGCACCTTTGTCCAGTGGGACCAGTTGTTTAGGCTCAGGGGCCAGCTCACTGAAGTGTGGCTGTCATGTCACTCAGACCTCGGTCCTTGGAGATCCAAGTAAGGAGCCAGGACTGTTCTGGGACAGGATCTCTTCCTAGGTTAGAAATATGACAGTGTAACTGATGGGTTCATGGGGCTGTTTCCTCTGGAATGTGGAAGTGGGAGTGAAAAGTCTGAAGTTGAACTCAAAGAAGAAAACTGAAAGCCCAGCTCAGCTGCTTTCAATTGAATGTCAAGAAGCTGACTCTGTAGCTAGGGCCTTCTCTATCTTACCAGTCTAATACCTGCTGACATTCAGGAACTGAGAGTCGTGTCCCGTCATTGGTAAGAAGATCTGGTGTGTATGCAAAGCTAAGCACCATGGAAAGAAATACAAAATATGCTCATCTCTGCCCTTTGTCTTGGAATGGCATGTAACAAAAGACAAGGTCTAAGGCAGTCTTAAACTACAACTTTCCAGTTTATTCCAAGTGATAATGAGGGTAGAGGTAGTTGGAGGTGTAATAGCCCAAACAGTGACTGCTGATCTGTCACTTCCCCACCACCGACTTGAGGGGCAGGGAGTCTTGTAAGGAAGAAAGAGGCCACCCATCCTGCCTGCCTTCCCTGACTTTAGTCATTGGCCGTGTCCTAAGATACCTTTCTGGTGTCAGCCAGAAAGAGACCTCCGTTTTGTTTTTGTTAGCAGGTCTTTCCCGCAGTTACTTCCCTTGGGCTGAATGAACAGGAGCTGTTATTTCTCAGCCAGTCGGCATCTGGACCTCACTCTTCTCTCTCTTCCTGGAACGGTGTTCCTGATGTGGGCATAGTCAGTGACATCCTCTTTTGGATCTTGAAGGAACATGGGAAGAGTGAAAGCAGAGCCTCAGACCTCACCAGGATCCATTTCCACACACTGGTCTACCACATCTTGGCAACTGTGGATGGGCACTGGGCTAACCAGCTGGCAGCCGTGGCTGCAGGAGCTCGCGTGGCTGGGACACAGGCCTGCGCAACAGAAACCATAGACACCAGCCGAGTGTCTCTGAGGGCTCCACACGAGTTCCTGACCTCCCATTCGGGGGCAGGCTCCAGGATCATATTAAACCCTGACAAGCCAGTGGTAGAATGGCACAGGGAGGGCGTGGCCTTCCACTTCACACCTGTATTGGTATGTAAGGACCCTATTCGAACTGTGGGCCTTGGAGATGCCATTTCAGCTGAAGGCCTCTTCTATTCAGAAGTACACTCTCACTATTAGGAAGGTGGTTGTGGATCATTTTTCTGAAGAAGGAGAACTAGCCTATTTAAGAATTACAGGCATTAAGTGATTCGGAAAATAGGTCGAGGGTGTCAAAACAGTTTCTAGATCTGATTGAAAGACAGCCAAAGAAACAGCTGATTAAACTGTATCAGATACATTCCAGCCTGTTGACAATTACAAAAAGACATTTCAGGTTTTAATCAAAATTTAGCTATCTACTAATGAGACTGGATTTTCGGTGTTTTTATGTTGTGTGTCATAGGGGTAAAAACCTGATTCCCAAATTCCCAATTTATGCAGCATTGTCAGGTATTTTAGGCCAAACTAATTCACCCGTGAGCGCATGCCAGCTGGAGAAAACCTTTACCTGTCGCCCACCTCAGAAGTGCATGCGCACTCCGTGTCTAGTAAAGCCGGAGGCAGCTTCCAGTGTTCTCTCCTCTCCCAGCGCTCGGGGACAGGGCCACGATTTCCATTCAGTGTTTTAATGAAAATGCTTGATGAGCACACCATCTCAATCTTCCGCTCTCACACTTAAGACAGCCACAGGTGAAGACAAAACCACCCCTTACCCCGCCTGTGCTTTAGAGTCGCAGCTGAGGCGGGGGAGCCCAGTGGGGCCTTTGAGGGAATCAGCCATTCTGTGCTGATTCAGAAGCCTGGCCGACCTGCAGAGTGCCACAAGAGCTGAAGGGTTGTGTCTTCCTGCCGTGGCTCCTTAGACTGTAGTCTGGCTGGTCAGAGACTACTGTGCCTGGGCCCAACCTCATTGCCCAGCTTTGGCCATGCTTTCTCCCATAGAAGACTGATCTCTGTTCATTCTGACCCTTGAAGGCATTTGCTTTTACAACTGGAATATGCTTCTCTGTGTATAACTGATCATGTGTGTTTTACATTGACACATCACATCCATTAAAGAATTTGACCTCATAAGAGCCCCAGGATCATGAAATTTGTCATGTATTTATTTTTTATAAATTAGGGAGACTTCTGTGTGCTTTTAAATATATTAAAACAATTACATTTCAGGAGCCTTAAGTCTGTATGTAATTGATTTTTGTTCCCACCACCACTTCGAAGCCAGACACAATGGAAATTGTTCAGCCTTTTCTGGTGAGTTCTCTGTTACTCTGCTCTCGAGCTGTTTGATTGCCTCGTCTTCCCCATCGCTGCCCAGGTTGTCCCTCACCCTGAGCCTGAGCCATAGGTCTGCCCTCTGTGCTTTAAAGTGACAGAGGAAACTAGCATCAAGTAGCCAGTCCAGTAGGAAATGGCGGTTGGAGAGCGGTGAGCCTTCTCAGTTTGTTCAAAGAGCAGTATCGACATGGCAACTGGTGGCAGGCTCCCCAGGTCAGGGGGAATTGTTTCACACTGGCTCACAGCAGCAGCTTCTGGACTCAAAGCCACCTCAAATCCTTCATCTATGACCTCCCCCGCCCTGCTTTTGGGCTTGATTACTCCTTCAAAGAAAACTTAAGCCTAGAAAATTATGCAGCTTGAAATTCAAAGCAAGTAGCTTCTTAAGGAAGTCTGGCTGCTACCTCATTAGTCTCTGTCTCCAAGCTCAATTACAAATAATAAAACACCAACTTTCTAGCCTATTTTTATTGGAAAGCCTGAAGTGAGAAGAGATTTCTATTTTTCCAAGAAGAATTGGAATAACAGGTTCTAACCTGAGAATACTTTAAGAGTTCTGACATATTCTCCACGTGACATTTTTCTTAGTCTCAAAGTTGTGTCTGCTCAGCCCCTGCCTTTAATATATTCTCAGTACATTCTCCAGTTTTCACTGGTGATATCAATAAAGACTAATCCAGGAAGTGTAGTCAGCACATACTGTACAGTAGTTTTTTAAAAGATGGGTTTTCAACTTTTAATAGCTGCTGAATCAGTTTGGTGGTTATCACAAAAAAGTACCGGAATGTACCATACATGACAGGGGTAAATATTATCAGAATCATTTTGTAGATCTTTATGTATATACCTGAATGAGCACATGTAGATATGAACGTACATGCATCCCTATGTGAATGTCCCACCTTTCTGAGAAGTCAGCTAAGCTTTGGAAGTAAGATTGACTGGACTTCATCACCTAGGGCAAATTATGCGGAAGTGAGTGGGAAGGACAGGCACACAACAGGCAGGGCTTCAGGCCCCTCAACCATTTGCTTTGAACTTTACAAAGGTTTCTCCATGTGATTTGATATGAAGAAAAGTTTTAAAGTTCCCTGAACTAGAAAGAATGCCTGATGAAGAATGAGCCTTCCTAAAAATGTTCTAACACTCACTCTTGCATCATTTGAAATTGATTTAACACCTAAGGAAAAGCAGCCACACACACACACAAAACCACTGTCAGGAGAGAAGAATTCAGCCAAAAATGAATAATGTCTTATGCAGATTCAGTTTGCATTTTATTCTCTCTCAAGATTTGTGTGTGGGGCGGGGGGATAATTATTCATCAGTAGAAATCCAAATTCTATGCAGGGTTTTGAGATGGCAAATATCGTATGACATTGGACCAGTTCGCCTTACTAAGCCTCACTTTCCTCATCTGTAAAATGGGTTAATGGTGGTCCCTACCCTCATGCAATTCTTAACTAAAGGAAATACTATGCAAAATATTTAGCACAGTACTTGGCACATATTTAAAAGTTTAATAATTGTCAGTTACTAATCTGAACGGTCAATTTCCCAGGACTCTGTGGAACTATTTTAAATCATTGAAAAGCTACCACACTGATAATTTCACATTACTTTTTGGTCTTTTTTTAGATAAAAATTTTTATACAGTGAAATAGCACAAATTTTAAGTACCATTTGGTGAGCTTTGACAAATGCATATACTCATCTAACTCACATGCCTTTACAGATATAGAATGTTTCTATCACCTCATGCCACTTTTAAGTCATCCCTAGCCCCACCCTCAACCCTAAAGCACCCCCTATTATGCTTCTTTCCACCATAAATTCGTTTGCCTGTTCTGGAACTTTATAGAAATGGAATCTCAAAGTATTTAGTCTTTTGTATAAAGTTCCATTTATTCAGCATAATTTTTGTGAAATTAACCCATGTTCCCTGTAGTTTGTTACTTTTTATAGCTGAATAGTATTCCATTGTGACTACAGTGGTTTCCACTTGGGGGCCTTTATGAATAATGCTGCTATCGACAAGTCTGTTAGACATTTTCATTTCTCTTGGATAAAAATCCATAGGCATGGAATTGCTAGGAAAGGGTAGTGACAGACCTTTCCCCAAAGCAGTTGGACCAGTTTACACCAATCAGTGATTTATGAGTTAGGTTGCTTCTCATTCTTGCCAACGTTTGGAGTTGTCAGTGTTCAATTTCAGCCTTGTGATGGGTTCATAGTGGTGTTTCACTGTGGTTTTATTTTGCATTTCCCCAAAAATTAATAATGAGTACTTTTTTACATGCTTATTGGCCATTCATCTACTTTTGTGAACAGTTCAAATCGTTTGCCCACTATTTTTTTTTTTTCAATTGGATCATTTGTTTTATATTTGTTATTGTTTAGGATGTTAGTGTTTTTATTCTTGAGTTGTAGTTCTTCTTCATGTGTTCTGGAAATAAACCCTTTGTCAGACATATGTTGTGACTGTATGCTCCCAGAATATATTTCCAGTCTGTAGATCAATACTCATTTTCTTCTTCATGGCTTATTGGTCTTCTATGTCCTAAGAAACATTGAACTACTCCTATATTATGAATATAGTCTCATATCTTCTTCTAGGAACTTAATACTTTTAGGTTGTACATCTAGGTCTAGAATCCACTTTGAGCTACTTTGTGTGTATGGTGATAGGTTGGGGTGAGATTTACTTTTTTCTACACAGCCATCTAGTTGTTTCAGCACCATTGGTTAAAAAGACTTCTTTTCCCATTGATGCCTTTATCAAAAATCAAATGACTGTGTAAGTGTAGGTCTATTTATGGACTCTGAGCTGTTTTATTGATCCATCTATCCCTATGCCAGTACCACATAAGTACTGTTATGGTTAAGTCTTGAAGTGAGGTGGGGGTAAGTCATCCAGTTTTGTTCGAGATTGCCTTACATGTTCTAGGTCCTTTGTATTTCCACGACATCTTAGAACCAGCTTGTCAGTTTCTACACCAAAACCTGCTGGGATTATGATAAGAATCTATAGACCATTTTGGGAAGAATTTTTACCTTAGGAATATTTAGTCTTCCAATCCGTGAACATGACCTATCTCCCTGCGGGTATTTGTTCCTGTCATTAGTTAGAGCCTACCAGAAAACAATTCATAGGACTCTATTTCATTAGCTGCCCATCAGTCTTCATTTTCCCTTTGTTCATGTTTCAGGCAAGTCAACATCTCATTGATTTTAAAATCAAAGAATAAGATCAAAATAAGAAAACAATAAGAGTTTCAACTTGAATTATATAAATGCTTGCAAGGTCTCTGATAAGAAACTCAATTTTCCTTTTTATCATGTGTGATGCTGTCTCTAATATCTCCATGATTACTATGTCTCCCTCTTCTGTTTGGTTTTTTTTTTTAATTTCACCAATACCCCTACCCCGCTTCCCTTTGGCAACCGTGAGCTTGTTCTCTATATCTATGAGTTTGTTTCTGTTTTGTTTATTCATTTGTTTTGTTTTGTTTTAGATTCCACATATAAGTGAAATCATATGGTATTTCTCTTTCTCCAACTTACCTCACTTAGCATAATACCCTCTAGGTCCATCGATGTCATCACAAATGCTAAGGTTTCATTTTTTTTTTATTGCTGAGTAATATTCCATTGTGTATACATACCACATCTTCATCCATTCATCTATCAGTGGACACCTAGGTTGCTTCCATATCTTGGTTATTGTAAGTAGTGCTTCAATGAGCATAGGGACACATACATTATTTTGAGTTAGTGTTTTTGTTTACTATGGATACTCAGAAGTGGGATTGCTGGGTTATATGGCAGCACTACATTTAATCTTTTGAGGAATCTCCATACTGGTTACCATACTGGCTGCACTACACTTACAGTCCTACCAGTAGTGTGCAAGGCTTCCCATTTCTCCACATCCTCGATGGCACTGTTATTTGTTGATTTTTTGATAATAGCCATTCTGATGGGTGTGAAGTAGTATCTCATTGTGGTTTTAATTTGCATATCTCTGATGATTATTAATGTTGAGCATCTTTTCATGTCTATTGGCCATCTGTATGTCTTCTTTGGAGAAATGCCTATTCAGATCTGCCCATTTTTAATTGTATTATTTGGGTGGGGGTTTTTTCGGTATTAACGTTTTATGAGTTCCTTATATATTTTTTATATTAACCTCATCAGATATTTGCAGATATTGTCTCCCATTTACTAGGTTATCTTTTAGTTTTGTTGATGGTTTTCTTTGCTTTGCAAAAACTTAGTTTGACATAGTCCCATTTGTTTCTTTTTTCTTTTGATGCCTTTGTCTGAGGAGACATATCCAAAAAGATATTGCTAAGACCAATGTCAAAGAGTTTACTGCTTCTGTTTTCTTCTAGTTTTATGGTTGTATGTCTTACCTTTAAGTCTTTAATCCATTTGAGTTTATTTTTATATATGGTGTAAGAAAGTGGTCCAGTTTTTCTAACACAACTTATTGAAGAGAATGTCTTTACCCCATCGTATATCCTTGCCTTCTTTATTGTAGATCAGTTGTCCGTATAAATGAGGATCTTTTTCTGGGATCTCTATTCTATTCCACTGATCCGTTTGTCTGTTTTAATTATTGTAGCTTTGTACTGTAGTTTGAAATCAAGGAGTGTGATACCTCCCTCTTTGTTCTTTCTCAAAGTCCTTTGTGGTTCCATATAAATTTTAAGCTCAGTTGTTCCAGTTGTGAGAAGAATGCCATTGGTATTTTAATAGGGATTGCATTAAATCTCTATATTTAGGTAGCAAGGACATTTTAGACATTTTAAC